AGGTGTGAGAATCCACAAAAATGTCCCACGCGGCTAACACGGCGCAAAGCAAGCCTTGCTTCCACGGCCCAACTCCATGCCGAGCAGCAACATCATAGTGCCCTTTGTCCTGAGTCAGGCATGAAGGCCGAAACCAGGAAAGATAAAACGCTTGGTTTGTCTAACGCAGGACAGCTTTGCACCCCATGGCACAGTCCGTGAACACATAAGATGAACAGTGGCAAGAGTCTGTAGCCAGAGTTGCTTGCACAGAGCTTTGAGTCCGCATTGTCGCGAAAAGCTTCTTGGCGGATTCATCAAACTGAAGCGTGGTGTGAGGTGGAAAGAATCGCGGCACCCGTTCTGCTGCGGGCCGAAGAGCATGGTCTGGAGGTAAGGGGACATTACGGTCACCGATGCGGTATTCTGCCATGACCATTGCCGGCTGTCCTGGTTCGATACGATAGCGCCATCTGGTTTGAACACCATCTGGCAGCTTCATATCGTAGCCAGCTGCGTCGGGCAAGAACCGGACACCTCGCGCTACGTCAGCGTCATCTTGGCCAAAGGTTTCGTTCTCGCTGGATGCTCTAGCCATCTTTCCTTCTTCCACAGCTTTCTCAGCAGCATCTGGATCAGCAAGCAAAGACTTAAGGCCGCACAAGGAAGCCATGTCAGGATCCAACTCTGCCCAGACCCAAGGCGCGTGACCCTCAGCAAGGATGTATTCAGGCGGCAAAGGACTGTGCGGCGGCACAGGCTCCGCCGTGTAAAAGACAATTCGCTCCTTCGTGCGCCCAACGTGGTTGCCAATTTCCGCCCTCTCCATGGGCACTGCGACTTCCGGATGCATATTTGACATGATCGTGGAGCTCACTGCCGGGGTGGTCCCTTCGCCAAACGACCCTCTTGTTTTTGTAGTTTTGGAGCATTCTCCAAACTGGAGCAAGCGGTTCAGGGCGCCCGCATGCTGATTGACCGCCAATGCAGCGGCCGCACCTTTGCGAGAATCGTCAGCGATGAGGCCAAATGCCGCAAAGGTGGCATACGCTTCGTCCACATTTGCGATGCGGCCAAAGTGGAAGGAGGCATTGAGTTCCTGCGCGAAAAAGACCAACGGACAAAAGCATGAAAGTCAGACCTGCGACCGACACGATCTGAGGAATTGTGTGGCAATCGCTGGCACACAGCTCCCTTGCAGCCGCTCCGTCGCAGTGTCGCGGAGTGGCACAGCCGCGATTGAAATCGAAACCGGCGCACGCAGCTCGAAAAGATGGCTGTGACACAGCGGCCCGTCCGGCACACCGAGGTCGTCGGCATTGTGCAGTTGTTGAAAGTCGCCAGAGAAGCGCTCGAAAAACACTTCGGGCGTGAAGCACGTGATAGTTGAACTGGCCACGCGCAATCGAGACCTTTTGGCACTGGCTGTGTCTGCTTGGTGTTGACCTGCGTCGCCCTGCTCAGAAAGGCTGCGAGAAACAGCTTCTTCGGCCAAAGCCGCAACATGCGCATCTAGCGCATCCGCCAAAATCTTGACCAACTTTCTGTTCTGGGATTTGCGTGTTTGAGGATAGTTCACTAACGTGGCAATGAAGTTGACGGGGGACGCATCTCCAGGAAAAACTTGAACGGCCGCACCATTCATGAGAGGAGCCAGAGCACCCAAGAATGTCATGCCTGTGACAAAGGGGTGGTTGCTTGAGCGGATGGCGTGCGTCAAGAGAAACTGGTAGCCGTGCCTGGCATGGAGCGCCCCACTGACTGCCAAAATTGACAAACCACATCAAAGATTTCCGCCCCATATGCTAGAACACTGGCAACGCATGCAAGAAGAGGAAAAGTGAGATCAAACAAAGAACCGCGACTGCAAGGCTAAGGACGCTCTGCGGCCACGGCGCTTGCCAAAAACCAGCTCTGGGTCTAGCAACTTGTCAACTGCCTCCCAGGCAGCACGCATTTCCTCCTTGAACTGCTGTCTGGAAGTGGCATTCGAGCTGCGGGGCATTGCGCTAGCAAGGAGGGCCTCCACACCGCCTAAGTCAAAATCGATGTTCGTTGTTTACCTGTGTCAGGGCGCAGGCACGCAGCGCATGTAGGCTTGAACCCACGAATCCCAAACGGCAAAGCTCGTTGTAGCACCGTGACACAAGTGCCTATAGTGAAGTGCAGGCGTGTTTTGCATGGCTGAGACAATCTTTTAGTAGGCCTAAGATGTGAAAACGTCACATGTTCTTGCTCATCCCAAATGCAAGTAGAACATGGCAAAGCCAAAGCATGTCATCCCAGAAGCAGTGAGCAACAGCGGTCCCGCAATTGGCAGCCGGCCCGCAGCTGGCACGCAAGCGCCTTGCAGCCGCCCCAGAATGTGGAGCGGCACGCAGAGTGCTTGCAGCCGGTTGCGGACGGGCACACCAATGGGACAGGCTAAACGGGAACTTTTTGCGGGCAAGAACCACATTTCACAGGCCGTCGTGTCTGCAAAGAGGAGCCGCTTGACGATGTCTCAGCGCAAGACTCAGATTCGGAAGTGTAGAAGCCACATCGGCGGCAAGAGGATTGACATCTATCGGCCCGGCTCCGCCATGCTTACTGAACCAGTTCATGTCTGGTACATGAAACCAAATGGATTTTGGTCGCTTCAGGTTAACTGTGTCACTGTGCAGGCATGCAGTGCATGCAGACTTGAACCCAAGATTCCCTAACGGCAAAGCTTTCTCGAGCACCGCGACACAAGTGCCTATATTGTGTAGGCTCATGTATCGCATGGCTGAGACTAATTAGAGTGTGGATGGTGAGTGCAAACTTCACACTTTCTTGCTCGTCCCATAGGCAAGAAGAACATGGAAAAGCCAAAGCATCTCATCCCAGGAGCAAGTGAGCAACAGCGGTCGCGCAATTGGCAGCCGGTCCGCAGCTGGCAAGCAAGCGCTTTGCAGCCACCCCAGAACGTGGAGTGGCACGCAGGCTGTTTGCAGCCGGCTGTGGACGGGCACGCCAACCACACAGGCAAAGCATAGCTTTTTGCGGGGCAAGATCAAGACATTTCACTGGACGCACTGTCTGAACAGGAGCCGCTGGACGACGCCTCAGCGCAAGACTCAGATTCCGAAGTAGAGGCCCCATCGGCAGCAGGAGGATTGACATCCATCGGCCAAGTTCCGCCATGCTTACTGAGTAAGGTCATGTTCCTTTCGTACACGACTTCCTGGACGAAGAACCAGAAGGAGAATTGATTCATCTTGCGCGTCATGTGCTTGAATCGAGCCAGCCACGCAAACGTGATCTCGCAGATGGATGTGTTTATCTCAGTGACAACCTCGCTGTTTTCAGGCACGTTAGGCCCGCAATTGGCTACACACCAAGCATCGACATGGCCCCTGCTGTGAAACTTGTCCACGATGTATTTCATTTGCGGGTAGGCGAGGGATTCGGCCAGTGCATTCCAATGCTTACCTTACTGGGATCTGCGCAGCACAACCAAAAGGGCTAAAGATAGACATTATTTACGCTTATGGTCACGTATACGTGTGCTTCCTGCTTGCGGCCGCAAAACGGTTGTGGGCAAATCTGCGCAAGTGACAGGCGTCATCATGGACCAACACCTGGAGGCTGGAGTGCGTGGCTTTGAGGTGGGCAATGAAAGCATAGCGTTGGGACAGGGATTCTGCACCGTGATATTCTTGCACATGAACTATCAAGCCATCACTTCGACAAGCCACCAGAAGTCCGCCGGCCCGATGACTTTTCGCACCCGTATCCCCTTGCTTGTGAGTTTGGCGTTGCAAATCCAAAAGCTCTTGCAGTGTGGTTCCGTCATGAATCACAGGCTCCACCCGCTGTAGGCTTTTGGCTCGGTGACAAGCAGTCAAATACCCTTGAACCAGCATGTTCTCGGTGCGTGTGAGCTCTTTCTCTGCATGCGCGCCACGTTGAGACAGGATCACACGCAAGAGATCATCGCCGCTCTGAGCCAAGGAAGCAGCTCGAGACACAGAGTGAACAGCTGTTGGTTCTGCATCAAAAGCTGCCAGACAGCGAACATGCCAGGGGCAAAACTTGTGCTTGTAGGCTGGTGTGCGAGGGCAAGTGGTCAAGGACCATGCCTGCAAGGGCTGGCACAAGGTAGCAGAAACCGATGGAACTCCACAACGCCTCCGTGCGCCAGCTTTGACGTGACCGTCTATGACTAATCCCAATAGAGGCTTGTCTGAGCAAGTGACTTGACTCTTCCTGATCTTCATCATGAACGCGTCATAGGCATCTCCGACTTGTCGAATGAGGTGTTCTTTGTCGGCTGACAAAGACATATGCACATGCGGTTGTACTTGCCAATATCGCTCCAGGAGCCGGATTTTGAACCAAGCATCCTCAAGCTTTAACTTGAAGCGGTTGAAAGACAGTCGAAAGCCCGGCTGCCAATGCACTTTCGCCTCGCCCCAGAAAGAGGCCATCTGAACGACCAACCGCTTGGAGAATTGCTGGTACCAACGTCGAGTGACCCCAAATCGCTGGGTGAGTAGGATGACAGATGGCAGCGCCTTCACCGCAGACCGCCACCGAAGGACCTTACGACCATGAACTTGAAAGCTGCACCACAAATAGAAGCCCCGTTCAGGACAGTCGCGGCGGCGACATCGTCTGGGGGTGTGAGTGGCATGGTGGAGACCATCCACATCCAGAATGACACTCTTGCGCCGCTTTGCAGGAACCAATGGAGGGATGTGCTGACATCCAGGGCAAGGCCCTGACCAAGTAAAGGCCCAAGTGTTCAGATATGTCTGCGCAGAGGCGGCTACAGCATTGATGTCACAATCAGCCAACAATCCAGCAGGATCTGCTACTCGAATGGCACCGGGTATATCTACCCATTCAGCCATGGCGCTGCAAAGGGCTGCAAGAGTGAAAGAATCTAGCCGTGGTTTGTTTGCTCAGAAGATTTTGCGTGCACACATACAGGCCATGCCCATGTAGACGTGACCCGAATTAGTCGAATTAGTTCACAAGTGGACCGGGCAGCGCCGTCGGGCTGCCAAGCTTGAGTCAAAACGTGCCTTTCACTTAGAGACTTTTAAGGAATCGGGCATCCAGCTGGCTTCTTATGAGATTGACCTCCACACCACATGTTTTTCTGGCCGCTAAGTGTTCTTCCAGGGACAGTATACTACAGATGCGTATGGATGTTCGCAAGTTGGCAAAGGCTTGTAGGTGCGGGGGCGCGGTGCGCACACGCACGCGTGCTTGCTACATGGGAACCCGTGCAGCAGTGTAACCAAAAGCATGCGTCCAAAGACTCGATGGTCCAATGTAATTCAAATGCAAGCACAAACTGAGACTGCTGTAAGCTGTCAGGAAAACGTTTCTAAGTTTCAACTCGCTCTGCAGGCGCACCTTTTCGTCCAGGCGGCAGCTGCTCGGCTCAGTCTTTGCTGCTCTCGAGTTGACACTTGGCAGCCATGGCCATATCCTTCTTTTTGGCCTTCCTCTTCTTTTCGCGCTTGCTCTTTGCCTTGCGCGCTCGAGCTGCTTTCTCAGTGACTTTCCGGAGCTGTTCCTCCAGGACCCGGACGCGCTCGGCGTCGCCCGTAGCAGACAAAGCCGCCGAAGGTGCATGTTCGGAGGCTGCAGCAGCGGCGGACCGGCGCCGATCGAATTGCTGGCGGAGAAGGTTGGGGGCAGCAGGGCTCTCATCCAGTGGCCACGGGCGCAAAGTCCACGGACCCGACGGAGTTGTGGTTTGGATGTCTATCTCCACAGCGTCGTCCGGCCCAGCGGCGGGCGATGTATCCGGATCTTCCGGATCATCCACCGACGCATCCGTGCACTCAGAGATGTTTTCCCAGCCGGACATGGCTCGAAGATGAATGCCGCAAGACCGTGAATGAAAGCTGACATATGTGGTGTGCACTACAGTATGGTGGCATAGTGCAGTGTGGCCGTTGTTTTGACCATGGGACCGCACCCAACGCAATCACCGAGGCTTGAACACGGACACCGCCGGCGGCATATAGAGCAGTTCGGACGACAGGAGTCACGACAGAAGCGCTCGTTCGCAGAAGGCTTGAGAGGCAGTCAAACATAAAAGGCCTTGTTGGTTTATGTAGGTATTAGGTATATATCAAGCGTAACACGTGTAGCGTGGCATGTATGGATAAGACCACCCTAGTCAGGACATCAGCACGTGTATGCATTACAGTGAGTCTTCGAGGCGACGTCGTTCGCGCGCGTCATCTTGCTATAGCAGTGGCAGCCGGTCTGCAGCTGGCCAGCAAGCGCCTTGCAGCCACCCCGTGGGGTGGCACGCAAGCCGCTGGTAGCCGGCCGTAGACGGGCGCGCCAATCACACACGAAAAGCCTTGTCTCGGCGATATGACGGGCTCAGATGAAGAGAGGCCTTGCAGTTCAAAACCAGCTGCACACTTCTTTCGTGGGATGTTGGGAAGTGACCAGAAACAGCCACAGACCCAGCAGCAGGTAGCAGCAGCAGCAGCAGCAGCAGCAACAACAACAACAACAACGGCAACGGCAACGGCAACGACAACAACAGCGCACTGCCTTCCAAGTAGGCGTCGAGGGAGGAGTCTCCACGGCCAGTGCTGCGTTGCCGTGCCACAAGTCTGAAGCGCTGTTGGGCCAATGCTGGTCCAGCTCATCTGATTGTTTCTGCACACCTCTGAAGCATCTTCCCCCCACATCAATGCGTGTGGCAGCGACTTCTTCGTAATATGCAATCCCCCATGGGATTATGGTAGTCACATATGATCGGCTGTGACTTCAACATGTGGGAGTACTATGTGGAGCTAGCAGTCAGAATATAGTTACAAAGCCTGGAAAAGAATCTGTACCAAAAAGCAGTTAGAATATATGTGTGGGTCTGTGCCTGTCACTTGCTGGAGCATTGTGCTCACATGTGGTGACAGTCTTAACCTGCGGAACTTCTGCACTTCTCTTCCTGTAGTCTTACTTGTTCTCTGGGAGGCACGTATCAATTTCACGGCTGCAGAAAGC